AGTGAGTTCTTGGCCACCACCCAGTAGCACCACAATTTGAGTTTATACTGTGCTGTGGTCTATGAGCACACCAACCAGATGGCTTTCTTTTCGGTGTGTGAGCCCATTCCATCCTTAGTCCCAGCCCCATCATCGCTTGCTCCCACTGCAGCTCTCTCAACTTGTGAAAGTCTCCACACTACCAGTGGCCTTGTGGGAACAGTTTGGTTCCCTGGTGTCCTTGCAGAGACCAGTGCTTGGCTGGCGGAGGCACTTGCCGGAAGCTTCTCACTGCCTGGTTGGCATCACATCCCCGTTTGTGCTCTGGACATCAGACCTGTGTAGAGATACCTAAGCCAAGCCTTCCATGCTCCTTTTTCTGCCTGAATCTGTTTCCAAATGAAAGGCTTAAATGGGTTTGAAACTCTGCTTAAGCTCTTAAGCACTTCTCTCTGTAGGCGGGGACTTGACATCATAAATTTCTAGGCTAAAAGTAGGAGCAGATCTCTCTGAGTTCCCGTTTCCTCATCTCTAAACCTGGAGTGACCACAGCTCGGTTGTCGAGTGCAGTGAGGCAGGCGGTAGGTGTAAAGCACTTGAGGACTATCATAGTGGAGAGACTGGGCGGGGAAGGGGCTGCAAAATTTGGATTGAGTGCTGGTTCTACTGCTCAACAGCTCTGTGATATGGGCCAACTTGCTCCATCTCTCTGGGCCTACCCCTTTCTTAAAATGGGCAAATCCATCCTCACAAGATGGGGACAGTGAAAGACGAGTGTGCAACAGGTGTCATCTGGTTTATCACACCATGTTTGCTCAGTGGGTGTGGCTTTGCCCTCTAGGGAGGGCTCTGATCAGAGGTAGGGGTTCCACTGAAAGGGACAAGGCAAGCTCTGATTGAAGCTGGTAACTGAGCAGTTAAGCCCAGCCTGGGTAGTCGGGGAGCTGAGGCCTGGCCCCTCTGGATGAAGTGCATGGGAGGGTCTGCTGCTGTTTCCGCCCGGAACTGTGTGGCTGGGCATCAACCTGAGCCTCCCTCGCTATGGCTCAAGAAAGGACTCCCCTCTGTCTTCCAGCGCAGTTTCTGCCATTGGCTCCCTGGAAAGCTTTACCTTCTCTAAGGGGAGAGAGACTCAAAGTCCAGGTCCTCTCCACAGAAGAGAGTACCTTCTCATTTTCCTGTCCCTGCCACAGGGTGAAGCCAGCAGACCTACCAGGAGGGCCAAAGCCAGTCTAAGGGAGGGAGGGTGGAGGAGCCTGTGGGAAATGCCAGCCTTGGTTCCTGGCAAGGGATCCAGTGATTCCAGCGGTCATTATGTGCTGGTGTCGCAGGAGCTCTTGCAGAGCACCAGACGAGTGGTTCGACCTTCTGCAGCCACAGTCTGTCCCACCAGTTATGGAAAAGGGACTCTGGCTCCAGAACCTCTGCCTCCTCGACCACACTGCTTTTCAGCTGCCGGGGGCCAGCTGCTGATGCTGATCATCCTTTTGAGGAAGTTGTCTTCGCTTGGGTCCTACCAGGGAGGAAGGAAAGCGGTGTTGAAAAGGTCATAACTGGTCCCAGAGATTATTTTAGCAGATGACACATGACCATACAATTTATCAGGCTTTTCTTGTCCTACTTCACGAGGATTTAGCGTGTGTCTGTTGATGAGATCCTCCCCAAGCTCTCCCTCTCCCCGTCTCCTGATTGCTCTGCTTTGTCTGCTGAAGGCAGTAGGCATGCTGACTAATGCTGGATATGAGGGGCTGCTGGATCATCACAGGGCATGCATATGATGGTTTTATTTTTACAAACCAAAGACTGAGATACAAGACCCATCACTGGGTTTTTGTTGAAAGGACTTAACAGGCAGGGAGACAGAAGCAGCAGAGGAAAGGGTTGGGCCTGGGAATCCAGTATTTTCTTTCCGCATCAGATAGTTTTCCAGTGCCTTTATCATCCATTCCTATTGTACTCCATCGGCGGACGCTGGGTCCCCTCACCTGGGAGGCAGAGAAGGGAATCCGTCTCACCTCTCAGGTCTGACAGGTGTGGGGAATTCTCCATGTCCACTGTATGCGGAAGAGTCCAGAAAAGACGCGGGTCTGGTTTCTTGGGCTGCTCGCTGCTCCATGGACCTCCGCGTCGGAGCTGCCAGCTTTTCCTGTTGATTAGAGTCCACTATTTCCATTACAGCGCAGAGCGTGACAGGGTGATGTACTCAGTACTAAAAATACAGGAAAAGTGGAAGAAGGCACACCCGTGACAAGTACAACATTGTGGTGTATTTTTTGCAGATTTTCCTACGTTTGGAAGTCTCTGCTGCAGAACTTGTAGCCTGCTTCTCCCCACGTAACCCAGGGCAGTGCTTCTGCTGTGATATTGTTCAAAATGCCACACAGCCTCCTCATTTCCTCTGCAAATACCATTGCATGGATGCATCATTTGCTTAAATCTCTTCTGTTGTGGATTGTTGCCTCATAAATTAAATATACTTCAGTGAACATCTTTATTCATCAAGCCCTTTTCATGTTTAAGGTTATCAGTTAAGATACATTTGCAGCAGTGAAACTATAGGATCTACAGGTCCAACCACGGCGGAAGCTCTGAAAACACAGTGCCATGTTGCTCTCCAAAAGGCTGTGCTCCCTCCTCCCACGGTGTGTGTCCTTTTCATGGTACCCTCGGCCAGCTCCGAGCAGGGTTCTGGTTCAGTGGCTGAGGACCACGGTGTTTAAATCTCATACATTCGTCATTTCTGGTGGGGACAGATGGCTGGGAGAGAATGGGCTCATCGAGTATGCCAGTTCCTGCTGTGGCCAGGTACTTTTTAGTTATTCCCCTCAGACCTCAAAATAGAGCCCTCCCCATTTCTCAGAGGAGGACACTGAGGCTGACAGGAAGTAAACCATTCCTTATCACTGCACCCCACTGCCTCTCTTGAGGACTAGCCAGGCATCTCCCCGTGACCTGAGGACGACGGCCAGTGTTGTCAGACTGCTCAGGGCAAGTAATGTGGGAAGGCAGCTCTCAGGCCACACGGAGCATGCAGAGTACTGAAGCCAGTGGGGGGATTTCAAGCACACGGTGAAACACTTGTCTGATTCAGCGGTTCAGGCTGCAGCGCTGCTGCCCTGGATGCCGCCCTGCCTAGATTAGGGCTGCACTTAACTCTGATCAGGCTCGAGCTGGGAGAGCTGGGCTGGGTGAGGGCCGGCCCAAGGCTGGCCTCTGTAGGTGCTTGTATTGGAGGCTCCACTAGAACAGGTCCCTGGAGGGCAGGGGGCTTGTCTTGTTCCTGAGGCCCAGCCCTAAGGCGATCAATTCTCAGATAATAGCTAATAGTGGGGCTAGGCAATGTTGTAAGTTTTACGTGTGTTAGTTCATTTGGTCCTCAGAATAACCTGTGATTTAGGTACAGATGACGAGACCAAGGAACCAAGGACTTAACCCTTTGCGGTCGTTTGTCTTCTCTCAGCCACCAAAGCTTTTTTACCGTTCCGGTCGTATGTCTGCTCTCAGCCACCACAGCAAGGAACCGTACGAATCTTAACTCTATTCATTCATGTATCAGTTCATAATTTCTCTGAAAGCTCTTAAGTGTCCAAGCGACCTTGTCACGAACCAAAACATTGCCCCGACAAATCGGAGATATCGAAACTCAATATAAACAAACGCGGTCGTTCCGCACTCGCCATGCGAAACACCGTGGCGAGTCAGTCGCCTTTTGAGAGTGAAGAAATCGACAAGCTTCAGAGATACCTCGCAGAATTTCAAATAAAGCTTTACAAATGACGTTTAACTGTAATTAGGCATTCTCGCTTGTTAAGATATTTCAAAATAATACTCCAAAATGGCAAAAAGAAAGTTACCGAAAAAGTGTACTGCGAATCTGAAAGTAACGATGAAGAGTTTATTTTGGCACCTTGAATACTGACTCTGACGTAGAAAGTGATAACGTTTGTAGTGATTCTACTAGTAGTGACGTAGTTCCAAAAAAGAATTAGTAAATCTTGTTTATCCTTCATAATCTTGCATGTTATGTATCACTGCTCTTTCAATGGAAATTAATTCCGACCAGTATGACACCCATGTCCAAATTTAATACGACCGCAAAGGGTTAAATTTGTCCACAGTGAAGTGGTAGGGCCTGTTGAGTCTGCCACCGGCTCTGGCTCCAGAACTTGGTTCCTGACCCCTGCAGTGCACAACTGCGCAGGACCCAGCACCTGGCTCGGGGGCCCCATGGCCCAGCTGTGGGATTCTGGCCTCTCCTAAGACAGGAGAACCTTGGCTGCCTAGCACAGTGATGGGAACCTTTTGAGCTCGGCGTGTCAGCACTTTGTAAAACCCTAACTTAACTCTGGTGCCGTGTCACATATAGAAATTTTTTGATATTTGCAACCATAGTAAAACAAAGACTTATATTTTTGATATTTATTTTATATATTTAAATGCCATTTAACAAAGAAAAATCAACCAAAAAAATGAGTTCACGTGTCACCTCTGACACGCGTGTCATAGGTTCGCCATCACTGCCCTAGTAGTTTCTGTTCTCAGAGGCCTGAGTCTCTTTCATTCTCTTAAAATGGGATCAGTAAACTCGAGAGTTGCTTTGACATTTCAGGGCAGCACGATTAGAGAAGTGAGGAAGGAAATATGAAGGGAACCAGGGCTGCCAAGACCTGCAGGGATGGGTACCTAGCGTCCACCGGCGTTTTTGTAAACACTGAAGAAAGCCGTTATATGGCACAGGATTCACAATCGACCGGATTTGTGTGCCTGGGCTCCCAGCCAGGGTCTGCCCCTCAGGCTATGTGAGCTCAGGCTGAATAGTAAGAATGTGTGTCTGGGGCAGGGTGGCAATAATGAAGCTGCATTCACGTCAGATAAATTATTTAGAAACCTCCCTGGCCCCAGCACAGCACAGCTCCTGAGGTCATTGGTTGGGTGCTGGCACCTAGTGGGAGATCTGGAGCTTGGAGGCACCCCAAGCCCACTGACCAGTGTCCACTCGCGCCCTGCCTTCTGTCTTCCAGGTTGATCCCCGGGACCCACAGTCTCGTCAAGTCTCACAGAGGACGGCAGAGGGTACAGGTGCCCGGCCAGCGGCCATCTCCCGACAGCTGGAGCTCCAGCAATGTGAAGCTTTGTTTGCATTTTCTCCCTTCAGTTTGTTTAAAATTTTTTGTCTTTTTTTTTTTTTTTTTTTAATTTAAACGATTTAAGACTTCAAAAGAGCAGAAGCTCTGCTGTGGACAGGCACCAGTTTCTTTAAAGAAATTTAATATGGACAAAGCATTTGTGTAAATTTCATCTTTAATTTTTATAAGGGGTTAGGGCACTATTTCATTTTTGTTCTTGCTTTTCCCTGTCTTTCTTTTACCCATTTCTCAGTTCTGCTTATAACACCTCACTTCCCCCAGAGGAGGCCCCTCTCCGTGGCGATGGGGGCATTTCTCCTGGAACAGAATGGAGACAGGAGGAGGCCCCTGGGCCACCTTCCCACCAGGCGCAGGAACTGCCGACCCCGAGCTGCTCCCGGCCAGCTCTTGGCCTTGGGTAAAGATCTGCCTGGAGGAGGAAGACCAGCGTTTGCCCGGGAGAACTCACAAAAGCAGCTCCCACCCGGGGGTGTGTGCTCTTTAAGCTGTGGAAGCCCCGGCCACACCAGGACTGACGGTGGTGGGACTCCATTCCCCCCACTGCCCTCGGTGACCGAGATCTCTGAAGGGGCGGGGGACGGGACAGAAGTGATCATCTCCCACTTCCTGGCGGCTGTGCGATCAGCCCACCCCAACTCTACACGCCTACGTTTCTGTTAGTGTTCTTCCTCCCAGCAGAAGATCCCCAGGAAGAAACGGTCATGCCAAACCTCTGCCCAGGTTGTCACGGAGACCGCCTGAGTCCCTGCAATCCTGCCGTGAGCATTGCCATAGAACAGGGTGCCCTGGACTGGCTGTCGCTGCACTGAAGGGTGTGCCCTGTGTGCCGGGACCCCTGGTATCACTTATGGTAACAGTGTCGTGCCATCTCCCTCACCCCAGGGGCACACTGTTACTTGTAAATGTGTCTGACTGGAAAAGGATGGAGCAGGCGAGAGGAGGCAGGTGACTGGGCAGACCCCTGCAGCCTTTAGGTGCCTGTTTGTGGGTTTGCCACCTAGAGATTCCCCGGCTGTGGAGCCCTCCCACAGGGTCAGTGTAGCTGCTCTTCCGCTCTCCACAGCACTCACAGCCCCTCTCCACAGGCTTCTGAACCTGGCATTGTCCCCCGCATCCCCCTTTCCCTCCCCAGCTCCCGGCAGGACAGAGGAACCCTCCTGTGCTGGCCCCCTGTGTCACCTGGGCGCTGCTTTAGCTAATCCAGAAGCTCTTCACCCTGTGACAGCCAAGCAGGAAAGGGCCTTTGGGGAGGGGGAAGGAATTCCTCTTTTGTGTTTATTTTTGGTTTTTGTCTTCTCTCAGCCAGCATAGGATCAGTAGGGGAGATCACTGGAGGGCCTTTCAGTTCTGTGTGACCAAGGGGGCCTTCCCCACAGCAGCCCTGGTCCTGCAGCTCTGGGCGTTTGGGAGAGGCTAGCGCGGTGTCAGCCCAAGCTTGACAATATGTTTGCTCACATTCTTTCTGCCTTTTCTCAAGCTCCTCGGATACCAAGGCTCCTTCCTCCTGGGCAGACAGCTGGCTGTGGTTAGCAGGACCAGCAGGGCTGCAGGTGGTAACCAGGCCCTTCCATTCCTTGGCTGAAATCCTTTGTGATCGCCTGTCTCATCACTTCTCTGGTGCCCTGTGTGTGCTCTAGGCTGCACCTGGAAGGTTGGGAGCCCAGCATCCCCTATTGCAGTGCACACTCCTGCCCCACCCCCTGCCTTCCCTGCAGCCAGCTGTCTCTGCACATGAGCGAATGAGAAAAACAGTCCCCAAACTCAGCAGCCCCCTCTCCCTGCTGCAGCTGGGGTTCTGAAGTCCCCAGTGAGGGCTCAAGCCTAACAAGTTATTTGCCTTTTGCTTGTCTTTTTCTTTTGCCCTCCCCAGCCTCTTAGCTTTGAGTAGGTCTTGGAGCTGCAGTGCACCCCCCTTTGTTATTTTTCCTGGCGCCAGGGTATCCCCTATAGACAACGGGATGTCCGTAACTTTTGGGTAAGGTGGGCAGCCTGGGTAGCCAGCTTCCATGTACCCTTCCTTGTAGGGCTCCCAGCCCTCCTGGCTTGGTGGTGGGACCTCCTTCCCTAGCTCTTGAGGGCCAGCTCGTTAGCCCAAGTGCCTGTCTCCCCTCTCTCCTTCCCCTGCTCTCTCCACTTTGTCCACCTGAAGTTGGGCGTTGGCCCTAAGTCAGTCCAGTCTGTGGACTAGCCTGGGGTGAGGTGGGTGGCCCCTGTCCTCCTTCTCAGCCACTTGCCACCTGTTCCCACCGTGGTCGGCTTCCTCGCCTCTTCCTGCCTTTTCACCCTCTCCACCCGTCTCAGGCCTGGCAGCAGCTCTGTGGTGCATCACCTCAGTGCCACCAAGTTTAAGTTTGTCCAAGTTCCAGAAGTTTCCAAACCTTAAAATAGCAGTCCGTTACTCGCTTCTCCAGTCTGAAAGGAGAGCCTGTTGGAGGGAGAGTCTGGGCCTGGTGCCCCCTAAATGAGTGGAGTCAGCAGACAGATCATGCATAGTGCCTTATTCCATTGTCTTCCCTGGCCAGACCCGCTCCCCTGGAGTCTGTGTCTTCTTCCTGCTCGTTTGTGTCCATCTGTCTCTTACACTCTCCCTCCCATTCACCCACAGCCGCATGGGCTTCCCCTCTGCCCTTCCCCCCGCCCCCTCCTTCCCCCATCCCTTCCTGGAGCTGCAGCCAGGTACACACCTCCCGCCCACACCAGGGCGATCTCTAGCAGCTTTAGCTGAGGATGGAAAACGCTTTAGGCAGGTGCGCTCTGCCTCTTACTACCCAGCAGTGCCTGCCTCTTACCTCTAGCCAGGAGGATGCCACGATTGTTCAAACAAGACCGGCTCCATCTGACCCCCTCTGGGCCCTGGGGACTAAGCCGCAGGCCTCAGCCTCATCTCCTCCGGAGGCACTGGGAGGACGGGACCTCTCCTCCCGCCCGGATGTGGTTGCCCCTCATGGCTGCCTTTCTGAGGGCGTGTACATGTTTACTTGAGAAATACCCTGTTTACAGCCAGAGGAGAATGGTGCCCAACACTAGGTGGAGAGTGACTCGGGACAGCCTGCCCTCTATGGCACTGTGGGCGGTGGCCCCAGCGTGAACGAAGGCAGAGGTGCCAGGGGCTGGGGCGCTCCCTGCACTCCCTCTACTCCCCGACCCTGCGGTGCTACAACCACTGGCCACCTTCCTCAGCCTCCTGGCCCCAGACCTTCCCCACCTGCATTCCTTCCTCCACCTCCAAGGTCCTCAGCTCCTTAACATATCAGTTGCCTCCTAGAGAACCAGTGTGTGGAGCAATAAGATTTTTTTTTTTTTTTTTTTTGCTTGAGTCTTTTTATAAGAAAAGGAAAAGAGTTGACATTGTGGGACTCTCCTCTTTATGCTGTTGACTGTTTGCCTTCTTAGAAGACGGATGGACATCTGGGTTCTGACTTTGGGGTATCTTGGAAGCTTGGAAAAGCAAGTCAGGCTTTTGCCCCTAAGAAGGGGATCCTGACTGCCCTCACCATGCTCCATGCCACCTGGGCTTCCAGCCCCTCCCTCCCAGTGCGCCTCCCACCCTTGATCCTGCTGGTGCCCCCACACACATCTGGGGCACTGGTGGCCTGACTCTAAGGGGGCTCTTGGGTTATTGCCTCCCATGGCCCTTTCCCCTTCTAGGTCTGTCTGGTGGCCCCCAGATAGGCAGCTGCTGAGTCTCCTAGGAGGGCAATAGCCAAACTTGAACTATTCAGTTCTGCCCGCCGGGCTTGGGGCTGAGGCCCAGAGACACTGCCTCGGCCGTCGTCCCACACTGGGCTGAGCCACAGCCTTCGGGATAACACAGGCCCATCTCTGATCCTGTCCACCTGAGCATGGAGAGGTGCCTCGGGAGGGGAAGCAGGAGGTGTGGTGTGAGGGTGGACTGTCCCTGGCTGCCTGGAGCGCCCCTAGGATTGCAGGGGTCACCGGAGGGAGGCCACAGGAGGAAGGGAGTTTATTTAGGGACATTTTAAAGGCCGCGTTCATGCCCCAGGGCCTCTCCATCAGAGCAGGGGAGTATGTTGTGATGATTTAACAGTTGTGTGGGGCCATTTCAGTGAGGGAAGATTTAACCCAGGCTCAAAGTTTGTTTCAAATACTAGTTAATAAGCCTATTTTCCTTATTTTCTTTTTTTGCACAGAAGCTGGTAATCTAGGACCTACGTGTGAACAACTTTATATGAGTATTTTTTGTACTTGGTTTACTTGGGTTGGTATGATACATGATATTTAAGTTCCTTGAACACTGTGGAGCCCCAATGTGTATGAATGACTGAGGCTTTGTAAATTAAGGGACGTTTGTGTGAATAAAGTTATTTGATGGGGTCAAAGAAGCCATATGTGATTTGAAAACATGTGTGTGGTTTTGTCGACACCTGTGTGGGAAGGCGGAGAAGCCAGCCCTGTGACAGCTCTCCAGTCCCATACCCATTCCTGGTCCCCGTGGGTGCACAGCATGAGAGAAAAGGATAGGCAGTCGCTTGATGAAGGGTAGCAGGTGGTTTTCTCAACTGGTCTTCCCACCTCACACCTGGGAACATGTTCAGACTCGAGGAACCTGCACTTGGGAGCAGGGATCCACCAAGCCAAGCGTGTCAAACTCAAAGGCTAACACGGCCAAATAAGTTCATGTGGGCCCCCCAAAAATGCTTCAGTTTTCATAGAAACATAGGTTTATTTCGATAGAGACATGCTGAATACAAAAGGCTAAAATAAATGAGTCATCGTTAACATAATAGAACATTTTAACAAAATTAATATTTTTTCTTGAACATTAACTTACCAGACACTGAATAACTGCACAAATTAATAAGCATAACACAAATAAACCTATTTTTCTTGTTTGAAAGTGAAATATTTCCTGTTGCGCACACCAAACAAGTCAGTACAAGACTAATGACGTATCAATCGACTGCTAAAATATCCGCTGCTAGTATTAGTGGAGAGAAATGGTGTGCCTGTGCATAAGGCGTGTAAGGGAAATGAATGCAACAGGATTATAGTAATCAGTCATTAGCGAACATTATAGTTCGTTATTAATAACTAGAGGCGGGGGGTGGGGGGGGACGGAGGGACCCTCTGCCTGCCTGATCGCTCCTAACCACTCTGCCTGCCTGATCACCCCTAACTGCTCTGCCTGCCTGCCTGATCGCCCCTTACCCCCTCTGCCTCTCCCCCCACTGCTGTGGCTCCGTCCAGAAGGATATCCAGAATGACATCCAGAAGGTCATTTGGCTGGTTGGTCTAATTAGCATATTATGCTTTTATTATTATAGATTATGTATAAGAGGATATCATAGCAAGTTATGACATTTTTATTAAAACGTTTTTTACATACCATTGTATTGGCTGGGCCGCAAAAATATTCGTTGTGGGCCACGAGTTTGACATGCTTGCACCAAACCTAGGCTGCCCTTCGCAGGGATTCAGGACCTTAGCCAACATGGACCTCCTCCTGACATCTCAGGCCCTTCAGCCCCAGCACAGCTTCTGCAAGTTTCACCCTCAGGGATGTTTACCGTAGAGATAAGAAGGGTCTCCAAACCGCAGCAGCAAGGGGCTCCCAGAGGCACAGGGCCTGGAGAGCAGAGGCTCTAAGACCATCCTGGTGGTTCTGGGGGTGGAAGAAAGTACCTACAGCCCTTCTACCTCTGCCTGGCAACAAAAGCCACATTCCTTGAGGAATCACTGGCCCTTAACTAAAAGCCAGGCACTCTGACCCCCCACTGGCCTGCATGGTAGGTGTGTGAGCCCCTCTGCTGATGAGAAAACTAAAGCCCAGGGAAGTCCAGGCCACCCGGTGAGTGAATTCGTGGTGCTCGGGGAAGGACGGGGACAGCAGGCAGGTGCTTGTCTCGCTGGCTGCACATTCCCTTCCTCACTTACAGTGGAGGTGATAGCTACCTCCAGAGCAGCTGAAGGTTCAATAAGAACCTGATTGGGCCCAGCACTTGGTAGGCTCTCAACAGATGATTCTTTAGTTGTCTGTCTGGGATGCTCTCAGTCTGCCAAATGCTGAGCCCCTCAGGAATGCTCATCAATCCAATAGGGCTGGTGTTTGACATGGGACCCACCACTTGGGCCTTTTCTCAGGAGACCTGGTAAACACGGGAATCAAAACTGCAGGAGGACAGAGTCAGGACTTTGGAATGTGTGTTAGAGGAAGAGATAAGACAGGCTTCCTGCCTAATCTGGGGGAACAAGCTGCATTCAGACCCCAGCTTTGGTGTCCAGCCCCTGGAACGGGGCTTCTTGCAAAGGGTCCGTCTGTACTCAGCCCAGACGGCGGCCTGGAGCTTGGAGAAGGACAGCCGAGGGTGAGCCATCATAAATTGGGAACTGTCTGTATTTAAATAATCTATGCCCTTGCACAGTGCCTGACGTAGCCCATAGTAGGCAATCCATACATAGTTATTAAGGGATGGGTGAGAGGACATGTTGGAAGCACGGCCCCGTGGAAGGAACTTGCTCAGGAGCCTATGGTGGGAGCAGCCCTAAGATGTGAACCCGGTTCCTGGGCCCCGCCCACCCTCGTGGTTGGCCTGCAACTTCGCTCCATTCCTGAGGTTTAGCCACAGTCCATTTCATTCCCGTCAGCCCCTGAGGCAGGGATGAAGCCAGCTACTTGAGGAGGAATCACCAGATGTGGATGAAGATACTATTGAGCTTTGATTTCTTCCACCTGGAACAAGAGTCAGCAAATTTTCTATCCAGGGCAAAAAGTAAATACTTCAGGCTTTGCAGGCCATGGACCCTTCAACTCTGCCATTATAGCACATAAACAGACAATAGTAAACAAATGGGCGTGGGCGTGTGCCAGTAAACTTTCATTTATGGACACGGAAATTGGGATTTCATATAATTTTCACCAAAGTGTCACCCTCTATTATTTTTCTTCGACCATTTAAAAATGTAAAGACCACACACCCAGAGCAGCCTAGGGCTTGCTTCTGGGAGGTGGGCCTGTGGTGGGCAGCATGGCCTGTAACTGGTGGGCCCAGTTCAGGGGGCTGTGCCTGTGTCACGTGTCAGGTCACAAAGGTGAATGAGAGGACACGAACGGTGCTGACGAGGCCCAGAAGTTCTGCGCACGCTTGGTCACAGCTCTGGGGTGTGGCAGGGAAGTGCAGTGTAGGGAGATGGATGTCACCCACCAACAGACACATGTTCATGAATCCAGATGCAGCAAAGTATGAAAAAAAATCGTAACAGGAGTCAAGAGACTTGAGTCCAAATCCAGCATGGCCTCCTGCCCGCTGCGAGGCATGTGGCAAGTTCCCTCCTCTCTGGGCCAAGGGGTATGGTGTCCCTGGAGCCAGACACGGTGTGGATTGCTGCTTCACCCCTTCAAGTCTTGGGACCTCGGCGTGTTACTCTCTGAGCCTCCGTTTTCTTACCTATAAAATGTCAACACTTCATAGATTTTTTTTTTCCTGAGAATGAATGAGGTAGTAGATATAATCCATAGCACATTGCCTGGCATGCAGTAAACCATCCATAAATGGTATCGATAATATTTTTTAAAGGGGAAAAACATCATTTGAGATACTCCTCCCCCAAAAAGGGACTCAACATTTAAATACTGTTAAGGAATGCTGTATATTTCGTTCCCCTCCGGGAGTGTCCCAATGCATGAAAAGTTCTGAGAAGTCCTGTAATAAGTCCTATTGTTCAAGCTTCTTGGCTCACCGATGCTTCTACACTGAGCACCTGTTCTCGGCTCCTGGTACTAGCGTTCTGTGGCAAATGCTTCGGAGCCCACTTCGAGAGGTGCTAACCGAGATCTTTGCAGCTCTCAGACCCTACTTCCCTGTCGGGGGACTTCGGCCACCCCATCCGGTTTCACATGGGGCTGGAATCACCTTGCCCTGCTAAAGCCTCCAGTAAATGCCTCTGCTTGGTCTCCTGGTTCCTTGAGGGCAGATTGGAATACGAGGAATTTAATAACCGTGGTCTGGGGCTCCCGCCAAAATGCTGTGGGGCCCTGGCCCAGACAACTCCAATGTGGTGAGAACACAGAGCAGCTGCCCCGCCAGCAGACCAAGGCACTGCCAAGGCCGTGCGTTCCTGGTTCCCACGTTGGCAGGGCCCGGCCACCCTCCAGCTAGTGTTTACCCCGCGCGATGAGCAATTAGCGTTCCACTGGGAAGCACCTGTGGTTTAGAGGTTCTGCACACAGGCCCGCTGCGAGGCTGTCTGGGATCAAATCAGTTTTGTCATATGTAAAATGGGGATAATAACTGCACCTGTGTCTGTGACAATTAGATCTGGCTGCCTACACAGGAGACCCCAAATGACAGCAGCTGAAACGAGAGAAGTAGGTTTCTCTCTCACATAACAGAGCAATCGGGGCTGTTGTGCTGGTTCCACGAGGTCATCTGGGATCCCATCTCCTCTGTCTTCCGGCTCCAACATCTCCGGGAAGAAGCTTCCATCTTCAAGGTCACCTCCCGGCCCAGGATGGCTGCTGGAGCTTCAGGCATGTTCTCCTCATCCCAGGCACAGGGGGAGGAAGAGAGAACGTGCCTCCCTCCCCCTTTTATGGAACCTTCTCTGAAGCCCACACTGCCCTTCCACTTACATCTCCTTGGCTAGGACTTGGCACATGGCCACATCTGAGGCCAAGGAGACTGGGAAACAGATGGGCAGTTGTCCTGTTACTAAAGTTGAGGGGAGACTTGGTGTTGGGTAAGACAAGTAGCCACTCTGCCCCACAAGTGTGCTTCTGGCTCAGTCTAACAAAGGTTAGGTGTTATCATTATTAATAACTAGAGGCCCGGTGCACAAAAATTTGTGCACTCGCCGGAGAGGGGGGTCCCTCAGCCCAGCCTGTGCCCTCTCGCAGTCTGGGACCCCTCGGGAGATAACGACCTGCTGGCTTAGGCCTGCTCCCAGGTGGCAGAGGGCAGGCCCAATCCCTAGGTGCAGCCCCTGATCGGGCTCAGAGCAGGGCCGATTGGGGGGTTGGGGCACCGTCCCCGGTCATGCACAGAGCAGGGCAGATTGGGAGGTTGTGATGCCACCCTCAGTCATGATCAGGGTAGGGCCGATTGGGGGGTTGGGGCACCGTCCCCTGTCACACTCAAGGCAGGGTCAATGGGGAGGTTGCGGCGCCAACCTCGGTCACGCACAGAGCAGGGCCAATCAGGGAGTTGGGGCGCTGCCCCCTGTCACTCACAGAGCAGGGCCCATGAGCAGGGGTTGGGGCTCTGTACCCTGTCATGCACAGAGCAGGGCCAATCAGGGGGTTGGGGCGCTGCCCCCTGTCACACACAGAGCAGGGCCTATCAGGGGGTTGGGGCACCGCCCTCTATCACCCACAGAGCAGGGCCGATCAGGGGTTTG